CTGTCTGGCGGCGGCGTTCTCGCACTGCGTCGCTCTCGCTGGCACTGCATCGCTCTTGCTATAAATTGGTTCTCTACTATTTCTCTCTAATCCTTCCATAGCTTAGAAGCTACATTGATTTCACTATAAGACCATTATTCATTGACTTTACATTATTTAGCCCTCTTTAGCTTTTACCATAGACTTCCTGACTCTTGCAGTATGTAATTACATCTTTGATTAAATTATTTACATCATTAGGACTATATAAATACTAGTTGCATAATATAGTTTTCCTTTGTTGGACAGTTTGTTTGCCATTGACTTTGTTTTCTTTCTCTTCTTTATTGCTTCATTGTATATATCATGAGTTCATTCCCAAACTCATTAAAGTTCCTTTTTCTGGCACTTTTATTATCTAGTCTCTCCCAGAGATTCTGACCTATTCTATGCACATAATTGTGTGTTGCACAACTGTAAGATCTTGATCTCTATTCAGATTCATTTTCCCCTTTACTTCTCTTTTGGGTAGGATCCTTAGGTTCCATGTCTCGTTTTCCTGGTGTAGTCCTTTGTTTTGGTGGATCCTGAGAAAGGGTGAACAGAAAAGAATTCTAGGTTGAAAATGATTTTCCTTTAGGATTTTCAGGCCACGGCTCTATTATCTCCCAGCCTCTAGTAGTGTTACACTAAGTATGATGAGATTTTGAAGGTTTATTGTTTTTGTTTTCTGGAAGTTCTATTTTCATTGCTCTGAAATGTGGTAGTGGTAGTTTGGTGTGTGGGTATTATCCATTATACTTGGATATACTGAATAGGTTTCATGTTTTTTTTTTATTTTTGTGAAAAATTCTTAGAATTGTTTTTATAAATTAGTTTCTCTTCCCCCCATATTTTCTTTCTAGAGTCTGTTTTATTTGGATATTGGCTCTTCTAATTTCCTTGTCTGTTTTATCCCTCTTATTTCCATCTCTTTGACTTCTTCTGTTTTCTGGGAGAGTTTTTATTGTCTGTTGTGCTTTTTAATTTCTGCCAATTCAGGAGTCAGCATTTCTTAAGCTCAAGGAACTGAAGAACAAACCTTGAGTTGAAATATTTAAGGATCCTCTGGGCCGAATATAAAATGATCCAGGAAGCATTAAAAGAAGATGGAAAGAGTAATCAGAGTCACTGTACTGAAAGGAATTGGCAGACACAGAAGAATTTCATGAAATAACATATGAACAAGAGCCTGTGGTGGTGAAGGAAGAAGTTCAAGCTGCTTTGAAAGAATTGGCAAAAAATAAGGCCCAGGAATTGATGGTATATCATTTGACATATTTCAACTAACAGGTACTGCCCTGGATGTGCCCACCATGTTGTGTCAAGAAATCTGGAGGACAGCTGACTGGAAGAGATCTATATTTGTTCCCGTTCTAAAGAAAGGTGATCCAACAGTGTGGAAATGATTGAACAGTATTTTTAATACTACATGCAAGCAAGATCCTGCTGAAGACTATGCAAAAATGACTGGAACAGCATGTCAGCAGAGAACTGCCAGAAGTGCTGGCTCGGTTTAGAAGGGGTTGTAGTTTTAGGGATATTGTAGCTAATGTTGAATCTTGGCTGAAAGCAGGGAGTACTAGAGGAATACTTACCTGTGTTTCATTGATTATGCAAAGGCATTTGACTGTGTGGATCACAAAAAAACTGTGGCTAACTCTAAGATGAATGGGAATCCCAGAAGGCAGTCGTCAGAACAGATCAAGGAAACACTGCATGATTCAAAGTTGGGAAGGGTGTATGCCAGCGATGGGTCCTGTCTCCATATCTTTTCAGTCTATATGCAGAACTGATTATCCAGGAGGCTGGGCTGTATGAGGAAAAGTGTCACGTCAGGATTGGAGGAAGATTAATCAACACTCTGCTTTATGCAGATGACACACCCCTGCTTGCTGAAACTGAGGAGGACCTGAAGTGCTTGCTGCAGATGGTCAAGGACTGCAGTCTTCAATATGGATTGAGGCTCATATCAAGAAGATTATCACTACTGGGCCAATTGGCATCATCAATATGGATGGTGAAGAGATTGAGATTGTTAACGGCTTTAGTTTGCTTGGCTTCACAGTCAACACTCTTGGCACCAGCAGCCAGGAAATTAAAAAACTTAATGCAACGGGAAAGTCTGCTGCTAGAGACCTCTCCAAAGTACTGAAGAGTAGTGATGTCACTCTGGAGAATAAAGTGTACCTGATACAGTACATGGTCTTTACAATCACTTGCTATGTGTCAGAGCTGGACAATGACTAGGGGTGATAGGAGAATTGATGCATTTGAGGTGTTGGAGAAGAGTATTGAATATACCATGGACTGCTAAAAGAATGAACAGATTTGTGCTAGAGAGGGTTAAGAGCCAAGCTGCTCCTTGGAGGCAAAGATTCTGAAGCGTCATCTGACACTTTGAACATTTTGCACGGAGGGACCAATCCTTGGAGCTGGATGTCATGCTTAGGAGGGTGGAGGTACAGGAGAGAAATACCTTCTGTGAATTGGATTGATTCAGTGACTGCGGTAATTGGGGTAGGTGTATTGGAGACAGATTGGCACAGGACAAAGCAGGGTTTAGTGCTATTGTACATAGAGTCGCTATCAGTTGCAGGTGACTTATTTGGCATATAACAACAACAACAATATTAATTTATAGCATCCTGGCTTTTTTAGTCAGGCTTTCCATTCTTTGCCTTTATGTTGGTCATAGTCGTTAGAAATGATTTTTTAGTTTCTTGCCCGGTGAATATAAGCCTGGCTGTCCCATTTTAAGAAAAAGAAAAACCGTTCACTTAAGTAAATATTCCTTTAACCTTATTTTGTGGTGGTACTCAAGTGTGCCTGGTTTCCTTCTTCAGAGATATTCTGTTGGTAAACTCACTTTTAAGCTGTTTTTCCTCTTAACACCACTTCCACATCTAGAATTATACTAGACTCACCAATTCTTGAGTCTTCTGAGGATTCTATGACACAAATATGTTGGCTTCTCAGCTTTCCTCATTTTTGTTTTACTACTTAGTTTTATGGCTCTTCCAAGTCAGTCATCACAGTCAGCCTCCCATTTCCCAACATTTTGCCGCTCTTGTCCTCTCTCCATTTCCTGTGGGCTTTGAAAATGTCTAGAGGGGTGGGGGGAGGTGTGCACGCACCCCATTTTAAGTGGAAGTTTTAAATGCACTTTTTCATTTTAGCTCCTCTATGGTTTCTTTTCCCCCCATTTTCTCTTGTCTTTAGGTAACCATTTTTGGAATCCAATAGTGAGGGAGTTCGCCATCATTTACCTGTTTATACTTGAGCCACTACTTCACATTATGCCTCCCACAGGTGATTTTTGAAGAACAAGGGAGAAATTTGAATACTATCCAAGTGTGGACTTTTCTTACTTTTCAGGAAATACTACTCATAAGATGATTGTGGATAGACGCTACATGGGTGTGTCTAAACGGAAGTGCATCGTCTGGGGCGTGGCCTTCTTGTCAGATGGCACTGTCATAAGTGTGGACTCTGCTGGGAAAGTGCAGTTCTGGGACTCAGCTACCGGGACACTTGTGAAGAGCCATCTCGTCTCCAGTGCTGATGTGCAGTCCATTGCCGTGTCTGATGTAAGTCTAGTCATTGCTTTTCATAGTTGAAGTACAAGTTGAGACATTAAGTAGAGAGGACAGAGTCAGAGCTACCCCACAGACATGGTTTCTGTGTCCTCAATCTCGTCCTGGATAAAGAGGAATTTAGAAAAATACAGGTGGAAACACATCAGTTCTCTGGACTCACTTTCCCTGGACATTCCCTGGACAGTTAGTTCTCAGTTACTGAATATTTCTAGAAAAGATTAGATAGCAGAAGGATTTCCTTCAGACCACTCACCATTTACAAGTGATCCAGCCTGATTGGAGAGGGCACCAGGGACCTGGAGCAACCCTGAGAGGCATCGTTTGCTTTGCTCTGCTGCTTCCCATCTGCCATCTGCAAAGGCATTTCTCAGGTTTCAGTCTTCTGACAACCACTTTACATTCCTTATGTTTCTTTATACTGCTTTATTTTTTTATAAAAGCATTCCTTTTTTTTTTTTATTTTAGTTGCATCTTAAAAAGCTTACATATATATTTCTTTTTAAATACAGTTTACCCTTCAACAAAATGGGTTTGGACTGCATGAATTCACTTATTATATACTTAAATTTTTTCCTCCACTTGATGTTGGGATAACAATAAAGCAGTACATTGCTAATACAACACCCTTAACTCTCACATTGTTCAAGGGTCAACTGTATAAGAAAATAGTGTTAATAAGATTTCTTAAAAGAGGAAATTAAGTACTAGAGACAAAATATATAGCCCTAAATTGATGTCTTAAAGATCCTAGTAGGACTGAAAAAATAATCAACAGTAACTTTCTCACTGTTTATATGCTTTTATTAAATTTAATAATTTACCTAAAATTATCTCTGGTAGCTATAAAAAGGTTTTATTTCCATTAGTCACTGAGTCCCACTCTTCAGAAAATCAAGGAACATTTGTAGAATTTCATTTTCTGTGTCCATAGTTTTTTTCAAAACCTGAGAGAGAATTTACCTGTTTTTCCTGTTATCATTTGAAGTCATGTTTTTATTTATTTTTAGTATTCATATACTTTAAAATCAAAAGCATAAAAAAATACAGTCAATCCTTTTATTTACATGGAACTGTTCTGAGACACACCCCCCATAGATACCAAAATCTCAGGTGCTTTAAGTTAATAGTAAAATGATGCTAACATTTGCGTATAGCTTTAGCTCATCCTACTAAATACTTGAACTGATCTCTGGATTACTTATAATAGCTAATAATATAGGTATATTAAGCTCTTTCAGCTTTAGAGGATTGCCTCGACGACTTACTTTATTTTCATTTAATATTTTCAATCTATGGTTGATTGAGTCCATGGATGTAAAGAGCTAACTAACTGTAAATATAAAGCTTCCTTCACACTCCTACCTCCTGTTAGTTCACATTTTACTACTACTTTTATATGAATTCACTTGTTAACTAAAAGTTTGACAGTTTGAACTCACCAGCCACTTCAGGGGAGAAAGATAAGACATTCATCTCCTCTAAAGATTTGCGGCCTTGGAAACTATATTGTGTCCTGTAGAGTCAATGTGAATTGTAAGTGACTTAGTTATTGCTAACCATGTAGGTATATTTTTATAGAAATCTTTTTATTAATAATAAAATTAATTTTGTACTTTCTTCCTCTATGAAACAATCTACTTAAATGAAATCTTCACTTTTTTTTTTTTGTATATTACCTATAATATTCTACTGGATGATTGTATAATACTTTTTCTTGTTACTATTGTTGTGTGCTGTCTAATCAGAACTGACCTTCCAGTATAGCTGACCCTCCAGTGAGTTTTCAGAGGCTGTAAATCACATGGGAGGAGATTGCCTATCATACTGAGGAGTAGCTGGTAGGTTCAGAGTGCCTCTCTCTGGGTTGGCAGTGCAACGTCTTAATATTAGGCCACCAGAGCTCCCTAATGCTTTTCTGTAATAGCCCATTACTAGTGACTGTAAAAGTTATTCAGCCTTTGATCATTATAAACAATACTGTGGCTCAGTTTATACTTAGCAGATTAAAGGTATGTATATTTGTAATTTTGATTACAGCTTTCCAAATCATCCTTCCCCTCTTGGTGTTTTCATTTTAACCTCTGCCCAGCTGTGTGTGTCTATTTCCTGTCTTGTCACAGCTACTGCTACAGCACTTTCTGGCATTTAGCTAATTGGGAAAAAGCAGTAATCACAGTTTCAGTTTGCACTTAAGTTTGTATGAGTTCCTTTTTATATATTTAAGAGCCATTTTTTTTAGTTGTGTTAATCTTCATTTCTTGGAAGTTTTCCATTTGTGCTATTATGAGTTATAAATATTTTCCCTCAATTTGTCTTTTGGTTTTTTTACTACTTAGTGGGGGGGGGGTGTGTGTGTGTGTGTCCCTGGTGCCCTCTCCAGTCAGGCCGGATCACTTATAAATGGTGAGTGGTCTGAAGGAAATCCTTCTGCTATCTAATCTTTTCTACCCTGAGTTTATGTGAGCATTTGCTTTTACTTTCTAGTTTTTTCATAGTTTCTGTTTTTTACATAATAGAAATCCGGTTCATTTGGAATTTGTTACGACACACAGATCTAGATCCAGTTTTCCTTTATCTATATAAATTATCCAGGTTTTCTAGCTTTCCTTATGGAAAGGACTCTTTTCTTTTTTAATTGTGATTTTAACATAAGTTTACAGAAAAGTTGGATTGTCATCCATTCATTGTTGCACATTTTCCTTCCTAATCCCTAGTTCACTGTAAAAAAAAACCCCACCACCATTTGTTATTGCAAGGTCTCTTTTTACCATTAAGGTTTGCAACCTTGGAAACCTGATGGAGGGTTGCTATGAGTTGGAATTGACTTGAAGGCAGTGAGTGTGGCTTTGAGTTGAACTGTTAATAATATTTTTGATTCAAGAACTTGGTGTACTTTTTTGGTGTCTTTAAAAACAATTTTTCTTTTTCTCGTATAAATAGTATATTTCTTGTTAAAGGCAGTGGAGTCTAGTATGTCCTGGTTGTAAGGAGCTGTGCTGCCAACCTGAAGGCACGCAGTTCAAATCCACTACCAGCTCCACAGGAAGAAGATAGGCAGTTTCCTCCCATGTGATTTACTCCCTCTGAAAACCCACTGGAGAGTTAGTTGTGAGTCAGTTCTTACTTAGTGATACGTAACAACAGCACCAGAAAGTATGTATATAGCTCTTGTAACTGGTTAAAGTATTTGCTAATTGAATGGTTAGTGGCTCAAACCCAATTACTACTACAAAGATTATAGCTTTGGAAATTTTGGGGGCATTTCTACTCTGTTCTGTGGAGTATGAATCAACTTGATGGCAGTGGTTTAATATGTGTGTGTATGTGGTTTATTTTGGTAGTCTGTGGGTATGAAAAGTCTTAGTATAATTTGAGAGGCTATATTGTTAATTTTGTCAATGAGGGCACACTATTATCTATGCCTGAGCTTGTTCTTCAAAAGAAATCTTAACTTCTGAAGAAGAAAGACCCCTGTAAACTGTTTTCACACTCTAGGAATAGATGTTTTCCCTGAGCACCTAGGCAGAAAACCTCAGGGGACTTTTTTCCCCAGCTGAGCCCTGTTTTTGCTAAAAATAACCTCCTTAATGATTTAATTTCTCAGCAAGAAGACAGTTTCGTGGTGGGCACAGCCGAAGGGACAGTATTCCATTTTCAGCTGGTCTCTGTGACTTCCAGCAGCAGCGAGAAGCAGTGGGTGCGAACTAAGCCGTTCCAGCATCACACTCATGATGTTCGTACTGTGGCCCACAGCCCAACAGCACTCATCTCTGGAGGTGGGTGCCCTCCCAGGACTGTTCTTCCCTCTGTCCCACTCATTATTTTAAGGCAAGGTTTTTTCTAATTCTGTGAACCATCTTCCCTCCATTCATCCCAGGCACAGACACCCATTTAGTTATTCGTCCTCTCATGGAAAAGGTGGAGGTAAAGAATTATGATGCTGCTCTCCGGAAAATCACCTTCCCTCATGTAAGTATCATTGTGCCTTTCTCCTACGTTTCCACGAGCCCCTCAGCCCCTCTTCCCTTTTCATCCCAGGCGGAGCACAGCTAACACTTCGTGGGAAAAATTTGAAGAACATTGTAGCTACTTCTTTTTTCTGCCTCTGAAGCATGCCTTTTTGAAAGATACTTGTAGGAGCAAAAGGTTTATAGCAGCATTTTTAAGTCCTTTCAGTTTTGAAGTAAACATTTTTCCTTTTTTAGAGAGTGTTGGATTATAGGCCTTATATTTGTTTCTCTATTTGTTTTATTTTGTCTTTTTAAAAATAGATTAGACCAGGGAGCTCTGGTGGTCTTGTGGCCAAGAAATTGCATTGCAATACTGAAGGCACGTGTTTTGAATCCACCAGATGCTCTGCTGGAGAAGGAGGGGCAATCTCCTCCCGTGCCAGTTGGATCTGACTTGACGGTACACAAGAAGAAAACAAAACACTCATACATAAATAGATTAGCCCTCTTTGCACCCCTTCTGCTTTTTTAAAAAAAGAAATTCTGGATGGATGCAGGAAGATTCAGGCTCTAATAATTCCCTTTCATGTCTGATGTACTACCTCCCAAAGAGGATGTTCTTGTGGCCTAGTGGGTGAAGAGTTGTCTGCTAACCCAAAGGCATATATGCAGTGGTTCTAATCCACCAGCTCCTCCTCTGGAGAAAGATGAGTAGTACAATTTACAACCTCAGAACACTTACTGGAGAGTCACCTGTACGTTATTTGTGATTTGACGACAGTTGTTAACCTTCCAAAGCGTGAAGTCTTGCTCTACCTTCAATTTTTCCAACCCTCCATCCGTAAACTTTATTAAATCTACTTCCTCACTATATTGAATCTAGTAATTTCTTTTTGTCTACATTGCCATTATCCCACTAGTTTTGATCTTTTCTCGATGTTGTGGTAGCTCCCTAATGATCTCCTTTTGTTTGTTGATACCATTCTAATCTCTTTTTCACTGTTCTGTTTAAAAAGCAACTTTTTGTTCATTATTCCATGCTTAGAAGCCTTTGCTTGGTCTCTGTTGCCTCTGGCACAAAGACATATAATTCTTTTGTTATGATCTGGCCCTGGTATTCAGCTTCTTTCACTTTTCTTTCTGTATAAATCCTACCCCGTCACATCCACTCAGGCTAACCATTCTGAAAGACTCCTCATTCCTTCACACTCTTTTACTTTTAAGCCACTTCACAGGCCATCTCTGCTTGGAATGTGCTGCTCTGCCTTCCTTGTCTGACTAGTCTTTACCAAGAACTTCATCTAGGCCTCCTGTCATGACCCCCAAAGAATAGATTCGTCATTGTGGTGAGCCTTCAAGTCAGGTACCACTCATAGCAACACTGTGAACAGTAGTCTGCACCTTGCTTTATCCTGTGTTGTTCTTGCCATCTCTGATATTCTTGAGTCCTTGTTACAGTCACTGTTTCTACCCATTTTTTCCTTAACCTTTCCCAGTAGGATATGCTTTTCAAAGGACTGGCCCCTCCTCACCACATGCCACAGTATGTGAGATGAAGTTTTACCATCTTTGCATCCGAGAAGCACCCTGGTTGCACTTCCTGCACTTTTAGCAGTCTAGATTATTCAGCACTCTTCTTTAATACTGCTTTTCTAATTAAAAAAGAATTGACTACCACTGAAATATTTCAGGAAATATCATATAAGTAGAGCCAGGGGTAATGAAAGAAGTCCAAGCTGCACTGAAGGCATTGACAGAAAAATAAGGCCCCAGAAATTGAGAGTATACCAGTTGAGATGTTTCAGCTAACATCCAGCCCTGGACAGGCATGCTTACTATCTGTGCCCACTCTATGTGCTCTCTGGCCGACTGACTGGAAGAGATCCATATTTGTTCCCATTCCCAAGATGGATGATTGAATGGAAAATGTGGAAATTATAGGACAATATCTGTAATATCACATCAAACAAAATACTACTGAATATAAGTAAAAAATAGCTAAACCAGTACATAAATAGGGAACTTCTAGACTTTCAAGTTGTGGTTAGAAGACACTGTGGCACCAGGGATATCACTACTATTGTCAGATGGATCCTGGCTAAAACCAAAGAATACCAGAAGAATATCTGTCTGTATGTTATTGACTTTGCACAGGCATTTTACTCTTTGGATCATAACAAATTATGGTTAACATTGAGAAGAATGTGAATTCTAGAACACTTAATTGTGTTCAGGGCAAATGTATACCTAGACCAAGAGGCTGTGGTGCAAACAATGCAAGGAAGCACTACATGATTTAAAATTAAGAAAAGTTTGTCAGGATTGTATCCTTTCTCCATGCCTTTTTAATTTGTAGACTGAGGAAATTATTTAAGTAGCTGGACTGTTTAAGAAGACAAGAATGTGGTATTAGGATTGGAGCAGGAGTTACCAGTAACCTTTATTAGGCAAATAACACATCTCTGCTTGCTGAAAGTCAGGAGGCTTTGAAGCAGCTGCAAAAGTTTAAAACTGCAGCTTTCAATATAGATTGCATCTCAACATCAAGAAAACAAAAATTCTTGCTACTGGACCCAGTAATTAATGCAGAATCATGATAGATGGAGAAAAGATTAAAACTGTCAGTGACTTCATACTTGGATCCATAATCAGTACCCTTGGTACTAGCAGGAGATCAGGCAATATATTGCACTAGAAAAATTTGTATTCGGACTTCTTTAAATTATTGAGCAGTGATGTACTTTTGAGGACTAAGGTGCTCCTGATTCAGGCCATGGTCTTTTCTGTCACTTGATGTTCATCTGAGAGCTGGACGGTGAATATGAATGACAGAAAAAGTGATACCTTTGAGCTGTGGTTTTGGAGGAGAGTACTGATTATCCATCCCACGGACTGCAACACGAACAAATAAAAGGTCTTGGAGAAGGTACAGCTAGCATGCTCCTTGGAGGCAAAGGTGATAAAGCTTTGTCTCACATACATTAGACATGTTGCTAGGAGAGCCTATTCTTTGGAGAAGGACATCATGCTTGGAAAGGTGGAGGGTCAGCAAAGGAGAGAATGTCTCTCAACTAGGTAGGTTGACCCAGTGGCTATGTCAGTGGGCTTGAGCGTGTCAGAGATTGTGAGGATGGCACAGAGTAGGACACGGTTGATTTGTTGTTCATAGGATCACTTTGAGTCGTCCTCATCGCAACAGCACCTAACAGGAATAACAGCTTCTTGAATACCACAACTTAAACGCCTCGATTTTTTGTCATCCTTATTCATTGTGCAACTTTCAGATGTTTAGGAAGTAATTGAAGAGGATAGGTTAGATATCCTCTTTTCACTCCACAGTGTTAATGTATGTGTAAGTTCTTTGCTCACTGTGATATGATTGCCTATTTCATTTTATGTCATCCTCTTAGATTATAAACTTCTTAGTTGTGCCTGGCATATAATAGTATCTGAAATAGTTCTCAAGTAGATTTTGACAATAAAGAATGTTCTAAGATAATTGCTACTGTTTCTAGCACTGAGGCAGTTGACCCTGGCTCATCACTTCTCTGTTCTTGCCAACAGCGAAGTCTTATTTCCTGTTCTAAGAAGAGGCAACTTCTCCTTTTCCAATTTGCTCATCACTTGGAACTTTGGCGATTAGGATCCACAGTTGCAACAGGTGAGATTTTCCACAATGAAAACCCTATAGAGAATAAAACCTAAAATCAGAATCAAATTGAAATCTTGGTTGTGAAAAAAATGGATAGTGATTTTTCTGTGTCCACTGGAGTTAATGTTTTTTCCTCACTAGAAATTAATTATTCTGAGGGGTAGACTTGTTAGTTGAACGCTGAACTACTTTTCATGGTCCTACAGAGTGAGGTGAGCTTTATGGAATCATAGTTGCCCTAACTTACTTGGATTGAAAACAAGCTTTTGAAACATGGCATTAAATGGTGGGTAAATATGATCCTGCATGAAAAAGAATGCATGGATCTTGCAGGGTTGACAGCCTCAGGACCTTTTGTATGACATGTTAAGGAAGTATTTGGAACAGATTCTAGTAGGTTAGATATTTTATCATTAGGTTCTAAAATGTTGTGTTCTGGCCCAGAGCAGACTCTGACAGGTATCAGAGGCAGTTACTTGCAGTTAATTGAAATCTGGGCTACATAAAACGACTTCTGCCTATTTGCATGCCTCCTGTGGGTAGTTGATGTTGTATGCTGTCAATTTGGGATTGAATCATACCCTCCAGCAGGTTTTCAAAGGTGGTAAATTGCGCGGGGAGGGATTGCCCATCTTCTTCCTGTAGAACAGCTGATAGATTCACACCATTTTTCTTTGGATTGACAATGCCAACTCCTTATCCACTAAGGCCTTAAGAGCTCCCTGTTATGTTGCTAATTTTCCATTCTACCCAGAAACAATTTTTCAGAAGGAGAAAAGTAATATTGGAGGGGGAAATACTTAAAGAGATACAAAATTTACTGTTAGGCTGTTGAGTTGGGATCAACCCCAGCAGGTTTTCAGAGTCTAAATCACACAAGAGAAGACAGGCCATCTTTCTCTATTGTAATGCCTGGTGAATTTGAACCACCAAAGAGGCACAGCATTTGGATTAGCAGTGTAACATTCTTTGGACTCTGTACCAGAAAATTCTCAGAGAAATTTCTTGTTTTAGGAAGGAATGGGGATGTTCTTCCACTCTCTAGAAATGCAGATCATTTACTGCAGCTCAAGACAAAGGTAAGTTTAATTGTTCCTCTCACTTTGCAATCCAGAACAATTTTCACCTTTACCTTTTTAGAATTCATATCCTAAGCTGTATAAACAATTAATAAAAGTACTTGAATGAAGTGCTGTTATGAGAACCAAGTTTTCTATGATAGCAAAGTTGAGCATTCTGAAATTGCTGCATGAATGAATGAATACAGCAAATTAATTTTCTCCTTTTGATGTTAATGTAAAAACATGCATTTTTTTTTAAGGTTATAACTTTTTAAAAGTTGTTTATTTATATTTTTTTTCCTGTACAAAACCAACTTGTCTTTTCTTTTGAAAATGATGTCGGTTATTCATTTATTCTTGATTCTTAAAAATTTTTACTGAAACAGGGTAAGAAGCTGAAACTGTGTTTGTTCCATGCATGAATTTTCAAAAGAGTATAACCAACCCTGAATATGACTTTATTTCACTTTTTTTATGCAGCATATATATTTATTTATTTTTACAGCATATTCTTGCCATTTAATTTTCCCCCCATTCATTCATTGTTGCATTTTCCTCCCTGCCCACCCCTCCGCCCAGTTCACTTTTCTTTTTGAAAAGAAAAAAAAATATTGTTATATAATACACACTCACAAGTCCACAGTCCACTTTACTATGCATTGCTTTTTCTGGAATCTTGTCATGTAAAATTCAAATAATCCTGAAGAGTATACAGTGAAAAACTAATCTTCCATTGATCTCACATTTCCAGTTGTATATCCATAGATAATTATTGCCAATTCTTTTTATATTCTTTGAGAAAAAAGTCTACCCATTAGAGTATACTATGCAAAATTATTTATATTTTTCTTTAAATTTTAATTACACAAATAGTTGGGACTATAGTCCCACTGTAAAGAGTTCAAATGATAAAAGTTTATTGTTTGCTACTCTTAATTCTGGTCTCATCCTCTGAATTATTTTTAATTGATCAGTTGCTTATCCTCTCATATCTTTATAAATGGAGAGAGAGTGTATGTGTGTGCGTGTGTGTGTTTGTGAGAGAGATGTTGTAATGTGCCATTGAGTCATCAGCAACTCATAGCGACCCTCTGTACAACAGCCCTAAACCCTGCTCTAACTTGTGCCAATCTTACTGTCTCTGACAAACCCACTCCTATTACCCTAGTCACTGAATCAATCCATCTTATCAAGGGTCTTTCTCTCCAGCATTTGTTGTTTGCTCCTCTGTTGAACTTTACTATTGTTACTAGGGTGAGGTGATATATCATAATTGTTCATCACTTTCCTTTCCATCCAAATTTGAAGTTTAGTGTGAAGCCCTATGTATGTAATGTTAAAAGGGTTGAGATGTATATTCATCAGCTTTCATTCTTGTTTTGGAAATCGAAGCCACCACATATAGATAGTGCTTTTCCTCCACACTAATCAAAATGACGCACAGCATGAGTGTCAGAATTGTGTTTTTAAGTTCTTGTGACTATGTCCATAATGGCACAGACTTGCAGATTCGTGTCACACAGAAACTTATCATTATTGTCAAGAGTTTTGAATTGATTCATTCTGATTCAGTCCCCTGGTGTAAATTGCCATTTCATCCTGTGTACACTAACTCTGAATCTACCTGTTAATAAAATCCCAGGTGATTATTATGTACATAAGATCTTGTAGACATGTAGATTCTAATTCAGCATCTGGGATGGAAATGAAAAAATTGTCTACAGAGGGTTAAACCAGAATGAACTGGTTCAAAGCCCTGGTGTCATGTTTTGCTTGAATGCTCATTCTGATTCTTAATATTACCAGTGTCCTGAGAACATTATTTGTAGCCGTATCTCACCATGTGGAAATTGGATAGCCTATTCTACAACATCGCGATTCTTTCTCTACCGATTGAGTTATGAGCATGACAACATTAGCCTCCAAAGGGTAAGTGTCCAAAGTCCAGCCTGTCTAACTGAACGCAGAGAAATTTGTGTGTGATATTTAGGGGAAATGGTTATGCATAGAATATAAAGCTATTTAGAAATGGTGGTATGCATAGAATATAAAGCTATTTAGAGATGGTGGTTATAAAAAAGTTTATTTCCATTTTTACTTGATTATGAATTTGGAGGATTAGGGAAATGCTAGGAAGTGGCAGTAAAGTTTAGACTTAAATGGTTTCATATATGACTAAGTTATTTCCATGATGGAGAATTTAATACATATCGAAGACACATCCATGTTTTGTTCCTTTTGGGCTCCTTCCCCCCCGACCCTCATCTTCAGGTATTTCATTGCTCTGCCCCGACCTGGCTCCCCCCCCCCCCCCCCCCCCCCCCCCATTTTGGGCTTTTTAAAGGCAGGAAGCATTGATCTGATTGACGCCTTCCCGTGAATGCACTGTTTCTAATAGTCTTGCTATCAGTCACCTTTCTCATTTACTGAATTTTACTATTGGCTCTTCTGAAGGTCCCCAAAATGCCAGCGTTCCTTCGCTCTGCTCTTCAAATTCTGTTTTCTGAAGATTCCACCAAGCTATTTGTGGCATCAAATCAAGGATGTCTCCATGTCAACCAGCTGTCAGGAGGACACTTTAAGCATCTACATACTTTCCCACCCCAGTCAGGTGAGTAGTCTCTCATCATAGGAGAGAGAACGATGTCTATGTCTAATGTGTCCCCTTTTTGTCCCTGCATGCCTCATTGTCCTGGTTTCACTCATGCCATTCCCTACTCTGCAGTTAAACACTCATGTTTGCAGTTTAAAGTGGGAGGAGATCTCTGGCAAACGAAGCCACTTGATGAGATCTGAAATGTTCCTTACACCTACTCTTTTCTCATTGGGTTTTTGGTTTTTTTTATTTGGGACCTTAGAGTTGTTAACAGAACAAGAAGACAATTAAGATCATTTGTAATGTTGGCACCCAGAAATAACTACCAGTAATATTTGTATTTATTTTGCATGTGGACATTATTGTTTTTATAGAAATGAAGATACCCTAACATATGCCATTTATTTCAGCCCATTTTTCCGTGTTCTCTGACAACATGATGATGCTTATGAGAGAGTGTGTGTGTTTTGCTAGCTATTGCTCACTCCTCTACTGAGGGCTTAGTACCAGGCTTCATCTGATCTCTTCTGTAGTTCTCAAAATTCTTCCCATTGTCCTTATCTCTAATCACTGTCACTCAGATACCATTAGTTTGCAAAATGAGCTCTTAAGCTTCCTTTTTGTAAGCTGCTTCTGAAATAGCAAGAGAAGAAACTGAGTTAGGAGCCATATCAATTAAATTGACAACATTTGCTGAGCACATGCATACATTCATATTAGACTTTACAAAACTGACTTTTTAGTGAAATCAAGCTCTGCATTATGCATGTAACTTTGTCATCTTTCATTTCACTAGTTTTGTAATAATTTGATTTCTTCACAACCTCTCTCCTTTTCTACCCATTCCCATTTATCTTTTAGCATCTATTCTGTGTTTTATTACGGCTCTTTCTCATCATTCAGGAGTGTTATCTACAGTATGTGTATGGCATGTAACATCACTATCTGGGTTTTTTTGCCCCTTTTCTTTCTTTCTTTCCCCCCTATTGAGTCTTATTGTTACCGAATTGGTTTAAAATCCTTTGATGACAAGTCTAATGGACATCCAACCTTTCCTACTGCTAAATACCCAGCAGGCACCCAGTAAATTAAAGATGTGCTTCAAGCCTGTAGAACTGGCTATTTGTCTATAACTTTGACTGACAACCATTTGATAGGAAAAAGAGATGGAAGCAATTAGTTTAAATGATAGATATTTTCTATGATAGATGCCACTCTGATCTCCATTATCACAGTAGGCAATTTCTTACTAATTCTGAGCAAGTGACGCCTTTAGCTTTAGCTGTCTGATTCTGCTTAACAGAAGGGGTGGCTACTTAAATGGAAAGAGTGGATAGGGTCATGTCTAGAACCTACTTGGAAAACTATCAAATTCTCCTGTGAAAAGATTGAAAACCTTGAGAATTTTATTGGCTTTGGCCATCGAGGGCTTTATCGATTCAGGATAGGACTGGGTGTGGGCACTGGCGCAATTCTGAGCCTTTACTTCTGCTTCATCAGGGACTGTGGAGGCCATGTGTCTTTTGGCAGTCAGCCCAGATGGGAATTGGCTGGCTGCATCAGGTACCAGTGCTGGGGTCCATGTCTACAGCTTAAAACAGCTAAAGGTAAGTACAGCATTGAGTTGAACTATTCTATTGGAGGACGTTGTCTCTGCACGTGTAAAATTTAAAACAGATTGGTATGATACAGAATTTTAAAGTGCCTTTTTAAACTAAGGATATTCCTTGGTTTGGAATCATATTTTATCCATTTACTTTTTATTTATAATGTCAAGATTCTAAAATGTTTAACATCGAAACTCAGTAGAACTCACTCGCTGCCTTCAAGACCAGCTCATTACTAACCTTCCAGCAGGTTTTCTAAGATTATAAATTGCAAGGACAGAGATTGCCCATCTTTCTCCCAAACTGCTGATTCTAACCACCAAAAAGGTACTGCCTTTAGGGTAGCAGTACAGGGCCCTGTGGACTAGGCTACTGGAGATCTCTTATTTATTTATTTTAATTGAGATTTTAATGAAAGTTTATAGGGAACTTGGGTTTTCATTCGTTTATTGTTGTACATTTTCCTCCCTGCATCCCCATTTCCTCTTCTATTTGAAAAAAAAAATTTCTTTGTTGTATAATCCCCCCACCCCTAGAGCTCATTTTAAAGTTAGCGTTGATGTGTACTGAAAAGTCAATTCATAAATAACCAACATAGTGGATATTCAGAAGCTTAAAATTGTGCTTGTCGAGGAGCTGGTGGATTAGAATTATGTGCCTTAGTGCTAGCAGTGCAGAACCAGAGCTCCTTTAAAGTCAATAGTAACAGTAAAAAAAATAACTTGTGCATAAAAAAATATTTGAAATTCATGAATGGTGAGTTCTCTCCTAGCTTTTTTTACTGTATTTTAAGGAGGCTGGAGGAATAGCAAGGAAATTCTTGTTGTTATGTACCATTAAATCACCTGCAGTCCATAAGAACTCTCTGTACAACCGCTCTGAAGCCTGCCCTGTCCTGAGACAGTCTCAGTAAATCCAACATACCTACCCCCATTGTCCCAGTTACTGTACCAATTCACGTCATTAGGGTCTTCACCTCCTGCACGGTCCCTCTATCCTTCTGAGCATGATGTCCTCCAAGAACCAGTCTTTCCTAGCCATGTGCCCAAAGTATATGAGATGGGCCTTCAAAATCCTAGTTCCAAGGGAAAAACTTGGTGTCACCCTTTGGTTTTCTTGGTGGTCCATAGTATATTCAGGACTCTTCTGCAACGTAGCTCGAAGGTGTCGATTCTTCTGTCATCCTTAGTCACTGTCCAGCTTTCTGATGCATAGCAAGTAAATTGTGAAGACCATGGCCAGGATTAGGCTCACCTTAGTCTCCAGATTGACATCGTTGCTTTTCAAATTCTTACTTATATAAATGAATAGTTGCAGATGCTAAGAATTTTCTTTTAATAGCTTAAACTGTAATCTCAAGGTACTTATAGACTAAACAGAAACAGAAATTTGAAAAAGAATAGCAGAACAAGGTTTTCACTGTGAAATCACTCATGATTGTACTATCCATTTATACATTGGCTCAATATTGAACCCTTTTAAATGCTTATAAAAGTTATTCAGGTAAGAAAACACTGCCAAAACATACTGAAATTATATCAGACTGCATTTGACAAGTTTGCCTGTTAATGCATAACTAAGCCTCCAATACACATTTGAAGAGCATGTACTGAGCACTTGTTTTTAGCCTTTTCTGATGCTTTACAATTATTCGTGTGTATTGATACACATACCTGTGTATGTAACAATTAATGCCTGGACATTAATTCTTTTTAAATCTAGTGAAGAGCTATGTTTACAGTTTAATGACTTCTTTTACAAGCAGTTCATATGGAGGTGGAGTTAGTAACAGAAAATGCTCATATCTGTAAATGCTCCCATTTTCTAGACAGTCAAACTTCTTGCTTTATTTAAAAAAAAATTGAAGTGTACTGAAATGGCTACAGTTCATGAGATTTTCTTCAGAACCCCCTGCGTTCCTAGGAGTATTGTCAAAAACTGTCATACATCATTGGTCTTTCTCATAGACAGTTTCTTCTCTTATCTGTTCATAGGTTCACTGCACAGTACCTGCATACAATTTCCCTGTGACTGCTCTGGCCATCGCTCCCAATACCAACAATCTTGTCATCGCTCATTCAGACCAACAGGTAAAGAGAGGCTTCCAAGTCACTGCTGTCAGGCCACTTCAAACGAATACTCACAAGTGTGACCTTACCGCATTTCCTCATTCCTTTCTTCCATATAGTAATCTGGAAGCTGAGATACTGACAATTTTGAGGTCCTTTTTTTGGAGATAGCAGTACAAAGGAAGTTTTCTCATTTGTATGACATAAAGCTGCCAGATATAGTTTGGGCTCCACTCAGGCCTGCAGTGTGCTTTGACTTGATGGAGAACAGTTTGAATGATGAAGGACTTGGGATTCTGAAGCAACATAGGCAGGTGGAAGAATTTTTGCCTGGCACTGATTGTCTTAGACTAGACATGACAGGAACCTAGGTATCAGGCTGGATATGAGATGAAATTAGGGTTTTTTAAATAACATTTTCCTTTGAAATCGGATTTTGAAAGATGTGAGTGACTAAAAATTGTGTCATTCTACTTCACATTCACAGATGAGCAAATCACACCATAGTGAAAGAATTTGAAAGGCTTAAGTACCCAATTTCAGCCCAAAACAGAGCCTAGTTTAGTGCTTTTTTTATACCAGTATAACTAATTGAGTTATTTAAAATACCCTGTCTAATGAACACAATATGACATTATTGACATACTTACATCCTTATATATAAAATAGGATAATATCTACTTGCTATACCATGGATAAAATAAAATGTGATCTGGAAAACATGTTGTATTAGACTGCCCTGCATGGCAGTTTATAGGCACTACTTTAAGGAGCAGTTTTTACCCTCATACAGTATTTTCATTTACACTCTAGCTGAAAACACAATCTCTCGTTTCTGTGCCATGGACTTGTGTCTTTGACCAAAGATTTGAGAGACCTACCTGTAACATTCTTTGTCACACATATTGATCATGTCCACCTGACATTTTTACTGACATTTGATCTTTTACGTGCTTCTGTTATTGAAACTTGTTGGCTAATGTTTAATGGTCAGAGAAGCAAAAGTCTAAGAGTTGATAGGGATACAGTGTGGTGAGGACACAGGGAGCCTCTCTCTCACATACTGTAAATTATGTCCTCTCTTTGGAGGACGTTTTGGTCATGTCCTAGAGTACTGGGAAAGCTTAAGATAGAGCACTGTGCCAGCCAGGTTTTTAATATATTTTCTGATTTCAGGTGAGGAAGATAATTTTCAGATTTTTTGGGGTACTAGCTTTTATTTCTTTTGTATCATATCCTTCTGCAGGTGTTCGAGTTCAGCATCCCAGACAAGCAGTACACAGAATGGAGCCGGACCGTTCAGAAACAGGGCTTCCATTATCTTTGGCTCCAAAGGGACACTCCCATCACACACATCAGTTTTCACCCCAAGAGACCAATGTACATCCTTCTTCATGATACCTACATGTTCTGCATCATCGACAAGTCTTTGGTGAGTTCTTTACCACTGCTTCCTATCCGTATCTCACTCAGTGTCCTCCACTGAGGGGTCATTCAGTTCTAAAACAACAGGGACAGTAAAGGAAGAAGAACCAGAATAAAGGTTGCTGGTATCTTCTATAGAGAAGTGCTTATGTTTTACCCATTTCCTCCTTCTCATTTCTTATATTTGCTGAGGCTTTTAGGGGAGGGGCAGACATTAGTTTTCTTGCTTTTGCTGACCGCACTGTTTTCGTGCCTTTGAGCACGTGAGTGGGAAAGGATGAGTCAGTGACCTCTTGGGGGAGGGGTACCATTAATTTGCCTAAATCACTTTGACCTCTGTATGTCTGCTCTGGAATGGCTAGATAAATGAGATTTCACCAAAGGCAGTGCTTAATAAAATTCTGACCACTTGTGCTTCATGGTTAAATACCTACAAATTTAATCTTAATATCGTGAAAAAAACCCAGCTAGGAAAATTCCATTCTTCGTGACTGATTTAGGTAGAACATGAGCATCTTCTTCACTTTTAGATTCTAGCCTCTGCCAGCTGATTCACTCCAAATTTACATGTCTTTTCTGGACCGGCACTTTCCTTAGTGTTATGAGCTATGGCCATGCCCACAACGTGCTTTGGGCCCAGCTTACAACCAGCACATGTTGTTTTCGTATCTCTGTGGAGATGGGGGTAGATGGAATAGGGGAAGGCAGCAGATGGCTGTAAAGGTGATGTGTCACTGAAGCGCTTCTCCTGGGCCCGTGTCCTCTGGGTGTGGGAAGCCAGGCTGGCTGGCAAGTGCTTTCTGCAGGATGAGTGATACAGGAAGGGCCCCTCCCACTCGCCTGCCTCTTCATAAGTCAGCCCAGATCATTTTTCTCAAGCGTTGGTGATAAGTCCATCACTTCCTCATGCTGGGCAGAGCAGTTTCCCAAGGAAGTCAGAGATAAAATATCATTCGCTTGGCAGGAGACCATCTCTCAGTGATGTCATTAATATCAGTGGGGGTGGTTTGTATGGGGCTTCACCTGAGGAGAACTTTAGTACTTGGGAAGCTGCAGTCCCAAGGTGGAGGTTGCGGGGTGGGGGTGGGGGGGTGTGTGTGACTAGGGAGTCTGGAAAGTACAGAGGCTGTGTCATAAAGCGTGATTGATGAGAGTAGGCCAAAGCCCCAGCATGGCCCTCTGATCCTGCTGTTACAAAATGGCCAACTCTCTTGCCTTACCCCAGTCTCCTGTGATGTGGCTGTAGTTCTGTTTCTGAAGTCAGAAGATTCATGGACGTAGTGTGTATATAATATGATTAGAAGGTGGGGTTTGCTTGAAAAATTCAAGAGCCTTTGTCTCATGGAGGCTAAAAAAAGTAAAGATTTAAAAAATATATTTTTGTCTTTTTATAGCCTCTTCCAAATGACAAAACCTTACTCTACAATCCACTTTCTCACACGAATGAATCAGATGTCGTTAGGAGGCGTACAACCCATGCCTTTAAGATATCTAAGAAATACAAGGTAAGACATGTTGTGTTGTATTCTGGGGAGTTGTTGACTTATGATGCTGTCAAAATGTAATAAGCTTTACAATTGGAAGACAGGAGTGCCTTTGTTTTTCCATGCAAAGAACCTGCTTTGGGGAAGAAAAGTGACCATTTTGAGGATGTCTAATGTCTAGTTCCTGTAATCTGTATTTTACTATTTTTTCCTCAGTAGATAGACAAATCCACATCATTCTTAACCCAAACGAAATATTTTGATAGTGAGAAATGATATTAGAATTCACTCTGGAGTCTTTGTTTTTGTTAAGGTTGACTTATGAATTTGAATTCTGGTTAAAGAGTCTTCCAAAGATGGAATTCCAAATAAAACCAGAAGCATTGAATTCATTACTGTTTTCCCCTTTTAGGCCAGACTTTTCACTATTTATAAGACAAATACCTATTAAGATACTACTACTAAGTGGGATCCCGGGATATCATTTTGGAGAGTTGTAATTTTTTTCCCCTTTTTTAAAAAATGAAGGTCTGAAAATTATTCTATTGTGATTAACTTCTTGATATATTTGTCACTTGTGAGTTCTGAAGAATTTAGACCTCATAGCCCTCTGTTAACATTGATTCGTAAGAATTTAGAGAATACTAGACTTTCTGTCCAGGAAAAATGAAACCTCTGTTGAAGTGAACTTGGTTAAAAGCTCCCTCCCAATCTTTCCCAGTGCTGCTGCCAGCAAGGTAGAACACCTTTTAGCCTGAGTTGGCTTAGTTAGGGTTACCCTGGAGCCCCTGGAACTCTTGGTAGAATCATGATCATCTTTCTGACCTGCAGCCTCTCCTCTTCATGGAACTCTTGGATGAAAGAACACTAGTGGCCGTGGAGCGGCCCCTGGATGACATCATCGCTCAGCTCCCACCACCCATCAAAAAGAAGAAATTTGGAACTTAAAACAGGGTACATCCTGTGCCTTTCCTTGTACTGTCTATTTCTTTTCACGGATTGTGCTAATAAAACAAAATTATTCTTTACAACTAGTTGTAAATACTTTCTTCAGAATAATGAACAGTAATTTATCTTCATTAGATGAAAGTGAACTGAAACATCAAGGATTTGTAAATGGCATACTCATCTGAGTATGTACCTCGTCACACTCTTTTAGGGTCCTGCTTCTTCTGTAGACCGCAATCTGAGAAAATGGTTGCCAATAGCCCCTAACACGGGCCAGGGGCTCCAGATTGCTGATGCTCTTCACTGTCTTCCAGCCTCCCACACCCAGGAACCTGCCCAGCACTGCCTGGGTGCAGAGACCTGTGTATTTATTCAAGATAACCAGCTACTGACAGTGATGATCATATGGGGGTTCAAGGAAGATTCCAGCTCCAGAAGTCATTAAAAAGGAGTACTTTATCCAAAACATAAATGCATTTGGCCCTTTTATCTTAAAAAATAAATACATCTAGTCAGGTGCTAATTGTTTTTTTTTTAAAAAATCAGGCTTTGGTATACGGATCCTGAAGCAGTCTTTTTTTTTTTTAAGCAGTCCTTTTATATGACATTTTCCAGCCACCAACTTTAGGCAGGGTTTCATTAGGATGTAGGAGTGGAGCGGTCTGCCCTTGTCTGCTTGCTTTGACATTTTTATTTTCATGAAATTGCCAACTGACTAGTTTTAATGTGAACTTTCAATGAGAAGTGAAGAACTACCATTAACCTGAACTGAGCAGATCACTTTCTTTCACATCTCAGTGCACGTATTCTGTTGCATGCCCGTTGAAATCCAGTATGTGTGGCTTTGTTTGTGTTTTGGTTGGAAGGTTGCCGTAGGAACAGAGAAATGGGTATATAAGATGAGACTTAATAATAAGAAAAAAACCTAGCCATTTAAAACACACACACACACATATATATGAAAGATTTTATATTTGGTAAGAATAGACAGATACATAAAAAGATTTGTAATGGATGCCATTTCCCTCTGTCCCATTTGTTAAGGTTCTTTTTTTAAATTTTATTATTTTTATTTTACTATTTTTTGTGTGTGTGTACCGTCAAATCAGATCTGACTGGCACAGGAGGAGATTGCCCCTCCTTCCCCGGCAGAGCATCTGGTGGATTCGAACCGTGCATCTCTGGGATTGTAGTTGCAGCTTCTTGCCAAGGTTCTTTTATAGTAATAAAACTCATTGTGGGAAAAAAAAAAAAACTCATTGTGGAAGAATCAAAACCCTCCACTGGGTTCTTGGAAACTAAATTACATGGGCAGAGATTGTTCATCTTTCTCCTGTGGCACCTCTGGTGGATTGGAACCACAGAAGTGCCACCTGTAGATTGACAATGCATCTGTCTATGGATAATGCCACAACTCATCCGTAGGATAGTCTGAAACAAGTAGCTGTCAATTTTTAGGTCATCTTTGTCAATTAAGTTTTCTTTTCCTGTTTCTTAAGTAAATGCCCTTATGTGAGTAAGGCTTGGACAGTTCAACTTGTCCAGTAGGCTGGAAGATGTTTTAGCTCCTCTTGTGTGATTTAAGGTCCCTTGTTGGTACAATGGTTAAGCACTTAGTTGTTAACTGAAAGGCCAGTGGTTTGAACCCACCAGCCACTTCATGGGAGAAAGATGTGGTTGTTTATCAAGGTTACTTCTTTGGAAACCCTATGAGATCACTGAAGATTCAGTGTGAATTGAAATCAATTCAATGGCAAGGATTTTGTTTGTCTGTTTTTGTAATTGAAATCAAAGTTCAAGTCACTGATCTACAATGGAATGTTTGTAACCAAAAGTAGATTAATTCATTGCTTTTGAGTAGGAACCAACCTGTTGCAGCCCCTGCAAGTTTTCTGAAGCCATAAATTGCATGGGAGGAAATTGTCCTTTCTCCTTCAGAGCTGCTGATTCAGTTTAATTAAATGCAGCGAGATTTAGCACTACAACTCGCCATGGACGTGGAGATGGGGATCCTTTGAATATTAACTCACTTATTACTGGTTGTAGAACAGTAAATTTAGAGAATCTTTACTGACTTGAGTGTTGTGTAAGGCTTAACCATAATAAACTTATGAAACTGTTTGAGTTGTGAAAGGACTAATTCTGACAGAGACAGCTCACAGATGTAAAGAAGTAAAACTTGCAAAAGTAGAAAACATTCTTTTCCAGCCAGTGATTTGGACTTCCATAAATGGTCTGGGAAGTCAGAGCTTGGGTCTTGACATTCTTCTTACCTAGAAAACTTTGAATACAAATGAAGCAGAAAGTGACTAGGAAAAGTTAGGAAACAGAAGCAAACCAGTACTAAATACGAACACCGCAGCATACGTGTTTTATTTGAGAACTTGTCTAACTTAGATGCTTAAAGTATTAATAAATCTCACCTTTACTGCTTCTGTTAGGGATATTTTGCAGATCACATTAACATTTTTATCTGAGACAAACTTGGGAAAATTCTTGTTCTACTTAATTTTCTTGTTTTTGCAAACCATGTGCAAATGCATTTTCGCTTATTGCATATTGTAGTTAGTAATCTCAACTCTGAATGGGTCAATCATTCATTGCTGTTGAACTAGAGCTAATAGCTGACGTCAGTGCCTTTCTAAGGCTGGAGTAGGCTAGTGGATTTGAACTGTTGTAGCCTTTGGGTCAACAGCACAGCTCTCTAGGATTGTACTACTGGAGCTCTCTTCTGAATGGATAGTTTACCCTATACTGTGGAAATTCTACAAATAAGACCAACAAGAAAAGTCAATCTTGATATATACTGAAAGAAAAAAGGCCTTTTTTTTTAAGCATTGAAACTGCCTTTAAATAGAACATTATTCTGAACTACATTAAATGATATGGATAAAAGTGGAACTATTTTTTGGAGTAGGACGAGAGGAAGCAGAAGTTCCATGAGAACTCCTGAAAGAAACAGATTTGAGAAGTGGTTTTTCGTGGTCTCACCATGATTTTCAGAGGTCTGTGTCTTAGGTTTATTCTTTCACCATTGCTTGGTCAGAAGGATCATTTATAGGTATGGTACAAAAAGGGATGGTACACCAAACATTTTACATCTCACAGGCTGCAGGGAAGGCATTTAAGTGTTTCTTGCTCTGAAAAAAAACCACTTTATTTGACCATAATACAGATTTATGTGGGCAGTCTTTTGTACTAATCAGATAGTGTTATTCACGACTGCCCAGTGTTCTAGTGAGAGTGTCTCTTAGGATTGAAGCCTAGAAGTGGAATTGCTGATTCATAATGTATCTAGCTTCTTTCATTTTCAGTTGGTGCTGGCCACATTGCCCTTTGGAATGACTGTATCAAGTAGTATTTGAAAGAAGTCATTGCCTAGGTGGCAAAATCTGTACGGAGTTGCTATTAACCCCAAAGGTGGTGCCTCTGGCAGTTTGAATCCACCAGCTGTTCTTCGTGAGACAGACACGTGATCTTCCTCACAGGCAATTTGCAGCCATGGAAAACCTACTGGATGGTCAGCTATAAGTTGATTGCAACTCAGTAACAATGATTTTTTTGTGATATATTGATAGATTTTTGTTTTCACCCCTTTTTATCGGTGAAATTAGTATTTTACTTTCCATTTATTAATGAGACTGCCCCTTTCTTGATATTTTGAGCCATTTGGCTAATTGTGAATTTTCACTTTGTTCCTTCATGAGTTATCTTTTGTTTCATATTTTGAAGTGTTTTATGATCCCTGAGAGTGCTGTCCAATAGAACTTTCTGCTAAGATGAGGGATATTCTGTGCTTTACTACCTACAAAGGGAGTACTGGTGCGCTGGTATAAGGGCTGCCATCCTGGAGGTACATGATTCAGATCTACCAGCTGCTCTTCAGGAGAAAGGTGAACAATATAATTACCTATACATAGGTATTAAACAATTAAAATACAGCTAGTGTGACCAAGTAACTGATTTTATAATTTAAGTGTAAATAGTCACATGTATTGGCTACCCACCTGTTAGCACAAATGTACATATTAACAGTCTTGTTTGTATTTTTAATTCATTATTGCACATTTTCTCCCTTGTTCCACATTGTTCTCATACATGTAATGCATAATCATGTATTCCTTTTATTCAGTACTTCCCCCTCAACTGTTCTAATGCAGTGTCCATTATTTATACACTTTCCGCATTCTTTCCCCAACCCCTTCATGTCTATAACAGTGGTATTAGGCAGTATTTATCCTCTTGTGACTGAGATATTTCACTTAGCATAATGTCTTAAAGGCTTCCCTACATTATGTAATTTTTGACTGTTTCATTCTTTTTCAGACCTGCATAGTATTCCATTGTGTTGATGTCCTATAGTTTTTCTAGTCATTTATTGATAGGCACTTGGGTTGCTTCCATCTCCTTGATATTGTCAATAATGCAGCAATAAAAATGGGTGTACATGCATCTGTTTGAGTTTTAGCCCTGGTTTCTTTAGGATATATTCCCAGTAATGTAATTTCTGGGTCAAATCGTATTTATATTTCCTATTTCTTTTTTAAAATTATTAATGTTTTTAAAAAATTATTAATGTTTTGTGTGTGTACCGTCAAATCGGATCTGACTGGTACAGGAGGAGTTTGCCCCTCCTTGTCCAGCAGAGCATCTGGTGGATTTGAACCATGAGCCTCTGGGATTGGAGTGCAGCTTCTTCCCACTAGGCCACCAGAGCTCCCCTATTTCCTATTTTTTGAGAAAGCACCAGACCACCTTCCATGGTGGTTGTACCATTTTATATTCCCACCAGCAGTGAAAAACAGTTCCAGTCTCTCCACAACCTCACCAGCATTTGTTGTTTGTTGCCCTGTTGAACTTTTCTATTCTTTGTGGGGTGAGATGATATCTCATAGTTGTTTTGATTTGTATCTCTCTGGAAGCTAGGGATTTTGATCATTTCTTGATGTGTTTGTTTGCCATCTGCAAGTTTTCTTTGATGAAGTGTATATTCATGTCCT